GAAGGAAGGAAGGAAGGAAGGAAGGAAGCTGATGATGGGAGGAGGGAGGGAGGAAGGAAGGAAGCTGATGATGGGTGGATGGAACGAAGGAATGAGTTGATGGTGGAAGGAAGGAAGGGAGCTGATGATGGGTGGATGGAACGAAGGAATGAGCTGATGAAGGAAGGAAGGAACTGATGATGGATAAAAGGAAGGAAGGAGGGAGCGAGTTGATGATGGGTGGATGGAAGGAAGGAATGAGCTGATGATGGGTGGGTGGAAGGAAGGATTCTATTTTGGTAAATGTGATGGATCTACTGAAGCAATCTAGTTAAAAAGCCATGGGTGGGAGTGCACAATTTGTGGTTGCAATGACCAGATAAGTGGGGCATAAATAAAATAAAATAAAATAAAACAAAATAAAATAAATAAATAAATTTCCGCTTAAACCTTTTTGCTGGAAAATTGGCAGCCTCTTATTAGGTTCTGGACTAGAATTAAACCCTAAGAACCTGCTAAGGCAAGAAGTTATGCTAATGTTATGGAACATTTTAGGTAAAACGATGGTTTAATTTCTGTTTTACAGTTCCCAGTGAAATGAGACAGTTTGTAATAAATTTAGATAGGGACTTCAGGGAACGTATTACGACCACCATGAAATACAAAGACGTATGTTAACTCTGTTGATTATTTTTATATTTATGGCAGTTCTATCACTATGTGTATTATATTGGAAAAATAAGAAATACTGCTGAAGAGGTTACCACGTTATACATTTATTGCATTTATACCCCAACCTTTCTGCCAAAAAATGGCACTCAGGATAGCTGACGGTAATAAAATCCATATTAAAAACAAACACAAATAAAACACAAACACAGATTAAAAACACAATTTAAAAGCACATCAATAAAAAGAAACAAGTGCACCCAACAGATCTAAACAATCCTCCAGCAACAACCAAGTTTGGATACAAGACTCCGTGTGCCGCGGCCGAGTCATGGGTTCCTTGGATCGGGGCCCCAAAACCTTGAAAGACACCCAGCAGATAGATAGGCTGTCACGCTTCCCAGTGAAGCTCCTTTTAAAAACGAGACGGCTTCTCTTTCCCCTGGCACTTCCCACCTCCTTCGTGGCCTGGAAGAGGAAGGTTCCCTATTTTGTGCAGAGGGAGGGAGGATGCCACGGAAAAAGAAACAGAAGACGTTGGCTTAGGCTGGAAACTGTGATTCCCCCCCCACCTCAGCAACCCACTGCCAAGATCTCCTTTAGTACACAGTACAGCCTGCTTTTAAAAATTCCACACTGACCCATCTCCGCAGTTCTCAGGGGCCAACATGCTCCGTTTGAAAGAAGCACCACTTAAAGGAGGCATAATGCCAAGGCTGACAATAAGCAAAGCGTGATGCTTATATCCCGCCCCCCATAGCGCTTCAAGCATTCTCTGGGTGGTTTACAAGTTAATTATGCAGGCTACACATTGCCCCCCCCCCCAGCGAGCTGGGTACTCATTTGACCGACTTCGGAAGGATAGAAGGCTGAGTCAACCTTGAGCCGGCTCCCTGGGATTGAACCCCAGGTTGTGAGCACAGTTTTGGCTGCAGTACAGCGGTTTTAACCACTGCGCCACGAGGCTCGTGTGGGCAACAATCTTGATTGTGATAGCAGAGGAAAGCAACATAAGTGGAGGGGGCCAGGCAGAACGAGGAGCAAAAGAGGACCACCGGCAGAAAAGAGAGAGAGAGAGAGAGAGACTGTGGATGATGGTTTACAGAAAAGCAGAAACCCAGGCAGAGCAAGGAGCAAAAGAGGACCACCAGCGGAAAAGAGAGAGAGAGAGAGAGAGAGACAGAGACAGTGGATGATGGTTTACAGAAAAGCAGAAACAGTGTGGGCAGAGCCACCCTCCCTCCTAGACTGTGGAAGGAAAGAAGAGTAGTAAGGAAAGTTGGATGAGTGGTGGAATCATCACAGCCACGCAACAGAAGCCAGAATGCAAGGAGCAAAAGAGGACCACCAGCGGAAAAGAGAGAGAGAGAGAGAGAGAGACAGAGACAGTGGATGATGGTTTACAGAAAAGCAGAAACAGTGTGGGCAGAGCCACCCTCCCTCCTAGACTGTGGAAGGAAAGAAGAGTAGTAAGGAAAGTTGGATGAGTGGTGGAATCATCACAGCCACGCAACAGAAGCCAGAATAACAGTGGAATCTCTCAGGTGAAGAATATGATAGGCAACAGAAACTTAAAAATGGGTTTGAGAATGCTACGTTTTCTCATTTCTACTGTATGACATGGATTTCATGCAGGAACTTTAAAAGAGAGAGAAGCCTCTGAAATAACGGATTTATTACAAAGTGCTAAGAATTTCCTGGAATGAGAGGGTGACCAATGAAAAGTACTAAAGGTACTGAACAACGGCTAAGCAATTGTAAAGCACTTCAAGCAGAAAATGTGAATATTGTGTTCATCAACTGAGAAGCAGAAAGTACAGATTGCTACAGTTGATCACAGAATTAAATAAATGGGAAAACAAATGCTGGAAGCAGAACATACAGGCTGAAAATCTCAAGGATTAGTCTGGATACAAAGCAGTATTACT